GCAGCTCGAGCACGTGGTCGCGATGCTGCATGACCTCTCGTGTCTCTCGGTGCGCCATCTCTTTGGCCACGCCGAGTACTTGAAGGCAGCGTACATGATGTGTCTCGACCACCTCGAGATGCGTGTCGAGACGCCGTTGCTCGAGGACCCGGCCTCGTTTCTGGCAACCTTTTTGCGGCTCGAGCGCCAAGTCTACCCGCCGCACGTGTCGCCAGGCGATCGCCACACGTGGTTTGCGTATCGCTTGCCGCGCGTCGCCTCGATGCTTATCGAGTCGTTTCAAGTCCGCCCGAATGCGCTCGTCGGCATCCTCTTGTCCAAGCCAGCGCTATCGCCCGTGCACGTGCTTGTGCCGGTGCTGGCGTCGCTCGACTTTCGACCGACCAAGCTGCTGCTCGCCGTCCACACCATATATGACCGCAGACCCGTGTCCCATGCACGCTGCCCTCTTTCGGTGCTGCGACCTCGATGCTTTGGATGCGACGCGACTGCGCCGCGACGACGTCCGCGCGCTCATGTCGATCCGCGCCTCGGGCGAGTACTTTGTGGTGCTGGTGCAGGTCGTTGTCGATGCGGATGGATGTCGCATCGTCAAGACAAGTCGTTTTGATCGGCGTTGCACCTTGCCGCAGCGCTTTTTGGACCGGCTCGTGGGCCAGACCGTCGACGTGTGGTTCGCACTAGACCCGAATGCGCCGACAGCCGCGTTCCAAGCGCTCGTGTGGCCGGCCACGCGCAGCGTCGTGCTTCTCGGATGCGACGCGGCGCTGCGCGGGCTCGAGACCAATGGCGAAGACCAAGACGTTTTGCTCTACTTTTACCCGTCGCGCTCAACGCAGAAGCAGCAGAAGAAGAAGCAGAAAACGACAGCGGGCTTGCACGACCCCGCACATGCCATTGTCACGTGCTTTCGCCACACGGACGCGCGACTCGTCGCACGTCTGCTGCGCGTCGTCGCCAAGCTGGACGCAAAGCGCCTCTTTGCCACGCTCTTGCGCGACCACATCGCCGTGTTGGACGCCGACGCGCTCTCGTATGCGGTCCAGACCTTGGGTCCTGTCGACGCGCTCCCGGGCCTCTTGGCACTCGTCCTGCGCGCAGCCAAGGTGGTCCCGAGCCTCTTGAGTGGCGTCGTCGCTTGGACGTCGCAGCTTCAAGACGAGTACTTGGCCAAGCCACTGACGACGCTCTGCCTCGCTGTCTTGTACGATGTGCGCGACAACGTAATCGACTTTCCACCCGCCGTGGCCATCCCGCTACTGACGGCCGCCATGGCTCCCGCCATGGCTCTTGGACCCGCGTCCGAGTTGGCGCCGAGCTTGGGTTGGTTTTATAACGACGTGTCGCCTACCGTGTACGCGCTCGTCGACACGTTCCAGCGTGCCAACGCGGATCTCGTCAGCTTCGCGACGCAAAGCACCGTCTTTGGATCACTCGACGTCCTTGTGCCAACGCTGCTCCATACCGCAGACGTTTCCGACGCGCGCTGTCGTCTGCAAGCACATCTCGCGACGTGCGTCCCTGTCGTGCT